TTCGTCCGTGCACCATCTGATTATTCAGGACAAATGAATGGGTTTTGACCAGAGGTCATTGGCGTGACGATTCCACGGTATTAAAAAATCAATCAGTCGGAGGCATCCTTCAATTAATTGGGACACATCGAGCAAACTTTGTCTACGCGTGTTTTGGCCCAGTGTCTGTGTGTCAACCTTCCATGGCCTATTCTTAACCCTGAGGATGATCTATCTTCTACGGTTTAGATCTTCCGAAGGCCATTAGCAAGGCGATACTTTGAAGCCTTAAAGAACTACACTGCAAATAGTACTCCAATGTTCGCAATACTATTGCACACACCGGCCAACAAAATCCTTACACATGGGCCAATTTTCTAATTTGGATTCCAAATCCACTATATCAATTCCATTCCACTATATCAATTTCAGTTGTTTTCCCCCGAGAACAAAATATTGTTGTTATGCAAGAGGACTTCATAGGATTTTAGTTACTTCTTTGTAATCACTTCGTATATAGGACATCTATCTAGCTAAAATAGTACTGCCTTCTCTCAAATTTAAGAATGCCGTATGTAATTAAACAGGAATGATCATTAAGCATCGATCGCAAAATGCCCCCAGCCACCAGATTTGCGTAGTCGACCGAACTTAGCCTTAGTACGCTGACAATCTTAAACGGTAGACGTACGGAAGAGGGACGTCAGTATAAGTGTGTAATTAGTTAAGTAGAGCGTATTTTTCTGGGATATCGCCTTCGCGATGTATTTCAGCCCTAAAGGCGGTAACCCTGCAACTAGTTCTGCCGGGACATTTCCTAATGTTGCCACCCAGGTCTTGGGTTCGGCTAACGAATCTAGATCGCACAAAGGTTCCCACGGCGGCTTTCTATTTTACATGTTTTCTACGAAGTATTGTGGTGGTTACCTACAGCTTCAACTTTGAGCTTGGTCGTTTCCGATCTTTTGGCCTGCTTATACTCGTTTTGGGCTATCACGCAAACCAAAACAATGAGGATTGACAGAAATGATCAAAACGAACGAGATACAAGTTCATCACATGGAGGGAGATAATAAAACCCCCAATGCGAGGTTATGTCCCGGAAATCACCAGTCATACAGATAGCAAAAACCATCCATACAGCGAACCTTGGGCATCGGAGTTTGCCCGAAGAACCCAAACATATATAACATAACAACAAGATAACATTTATGAATACTGGAAGAGTATTAGCACGGCATATCAAAAACTAGACATACCACCTATATTAACGAACTGTCGCGATCCTGAAGCTTAGCAACCAGCGAACTTAACCACCCAAACATCCCTAGGTACCCTATAGTACTAACGATCTAATAACAGGACATAACGATAATCTTATTCTCCACTGTGCGGTTTTAGTCAGTGATCTATCCTCTATTATGGAAAATAAATATTACAAAAATGATGGAAACTAATAAGGGATAGGCTACGGGCGTAGGATCCCGATTTTAATGAAACTTAGAAAAGGTAGAAAAATATTAGGAACCGCCTAACCTTGGAGGTGTTTAGTTCAACCATTATCAGGTTATATTTGCCAATACTATTGTCTATAGCTTATTTCCGTCAAATTAATGATTTTTAACTTCAAACTAACCCCTTTTTACTCTAAAATTAATTTAATTATTAAATGTACGTTGGGATGGGAAGTTGGTGTATGAGTGGATCGAAGTCAGGATAGCTCAAGTGGTAGAGCAGCGGCGTACCCCGAAGATCGTGGGTTCGAATCCCGCTCGTGACACTAACTTTTTCATCTCGACCAAGACCTCACTTAAAAAGAATAATTAATTGGATTAAAAATAACCATAAAATTCATTCTCAACAAAGGCACAAACTCATAGTTAATAAAATATGATGTAACATTACGCATTTACGACCAATTTTCTCGATTCCTCTTTTTCCTTCCCTCGACAATATGTTCTTGTCTAATATGTTTCGGCTTAGTAACACTAAAAAAAAGTTTTAAAAAAAATCGTATTCTGTACTTGCAAGTTAATTTTATAACGTGGTCAGTAAGTAATTACTTAGGAATTTTTTTTTTTCATAAATTCTGACTGGACTATTTTATGCCCGATACACTATTTTTATGATAAATATCGTTGCGGAATTGAAGATTTCATAAAAAGAATAATTAATTGAAAGAAATAATTTGGTCAATTAGGCCACTAAACATAATGGATTTAAAATTAACCTTTTTTTTCTTTTCAAATAAAACATTTTTAATTTCAACTTAACCCTTGCTTTAAAGTATTACATTTCACATTATATTTTCCTTTCTGAACTTAATTCTACAGGTGTTAATTTAAAAGAAAACGAACAAATAATATAACTTTTCATTTAAATTAGAATTAATTTTCCTATGTATATCCTAAGCACCCAATTACTTTATAAAAATAAATCACAAATATACAGGAATATATGTTGTGCTTATATGTATTTCGTACTATAACATAGCTTTTTAAGGCTTAAAAAAGGTTAATTTGAAATTAAAAACCGTTATTTTGAAATGAAAACGGGGTTAATTTGAAGAAAAAAAAGAGGAAATGTTGCAGTTAAAAGAAAAAAAAAGGTTAACTTGAAATTAAAAAGGGTTAATTATAAATTATAAATGGTTAATTCAAAGTTAAAAAGGGTTAATTTGAAGTTAAAAAATGTTAATTTAAGTTAAAAAATATGAATTAGAAAGTATTAAAGCTTAATGTGGAGTTAAAAAGGGTTTATTTGATATTAAAAGTAATTAATTTGGAATTAAAAAATGGTTAATTTGAAGTTTAAAAAGATTAATTTAAACTTAAAAAGGCTTAATTAGAAATTATGAAAGTGCAATCTGAAGTTAAAATGGGCTAATTTGACGAAAAACGGTCATCAATCATCCCCCGTACCTTTATATTTACCCCCCTCAGATATTTACTTTCAAAGTTAATGCCTTGGGGGCAGCTCAATGGTTACTTTGAAAATTTTCTGTGGGCACGTTCGGCTTTTTAGTATTTTATCAATTTTATAGTCGAGGGTGCTATTGAGTTATCGAATGCTCCCACGATATGGACCTAGCTACATGATACACTTTTTTTTATTTTAATTATTTTTAAGTATTTATTTTTTTATAATATAACCTACACAGTAATTCACTAATTTTCGTGGTCCTCTTGACCAATTACACAGTAATAATTTTTTTTATTTAGTACTAAATAGATATTCACATGAACAAATAAATTAAAAGGGAAATCAAACATCACATAAATTATAATTTTCATTATTGATTTTTTAAAATGTTCAACGGTAGTTTCGAACTTTTAATATATGTAATGATGTCTGATCGTCACACCTTTTGAAAATGGCGTACTTGGGTTTCGCGACATTTCGATTTCGAAAAACTAAAAATTAAGACGCTATCCAATTGAAAATATGTCATCGCTCCGGATCATACTTAGAACGTGTGAAGAGAAAGTATCTCCTCTCTTGTACATATGTAAGTATGGTGTTTTTTTAATGCCAGGACTACTGTAAATTCCAGGACTTGAAAAATGCAAGTTTACCACTGCCATAGAAAATCGTAAAAAATTATTGATAAAAATATTAGTAATTACAAGAAATTTCAGTATAATTTGACTCTCATTGGTAGGCAGTTTTTTTTTTCATCGTCTGAAATAGTTCCAATGGATTTTTCTTTCTTGTTTTACTTACTTTTTCGTGCCCAGGGAGGGTCAAATATTTTGGCTGGACGTTTTGGGGAGACATTATGAAGAAAAAGAAACGGAAAATGTTCACATGGCAAAGCTAACAAGGGCGAGTTATCAGGCCGAAACCGTAGCATATATTAATCTTCACTTTTCACCGCAAACTTCCCGTTCCAAAACTATATTAAAACATGTGGCCATTTTTTAAATGTAGCTGGAACGAGTTTAACGAAAACATCCAAAATCTGTAACATCAGAGTGAACCGATTCTTTCGATTTCATCTGAGGAGGTCGATCGCTTATGGCGTCTAGCAATGTCTTCTGCCACCCCGGAGGGGGAGAGAGAGAGAGAGGGAGAGAGGGAGAGAGAGAGAGAGAGAGAGAGAGAGAGAGAGAGAGAGTGAGGGTGAGGAAGAGAGTGGGAGTGAGAAAGAGAGACATAGCTATAGAAAGACTGGGTGAATGTGAGGGAGATAGAAAGAGAGATTGAGTAAGAAAATGAAACGAGATAGTGTGAAGAGAGGGAGAGGGAGAGAGAGTGGGAGAGTAGATGAGGAAGAAGAAGAGAATGAAAGAGAGAAAAAAAAGAGAGATTGATGGTGAGGAAGAGAGTGGCAGTGATAAAGAGAGACATAGAAATAGAAAGAGTGGGTGGTAGAGTAAGGGACACGAATAGGGAGAGGAAAAGGAAGAGTGCATGTGAGGGAGATAGAAAGAGAGAATGAGCATGAAAATTAAAGGAGATAGTGTGAGGAGAGAGAGCTTGTAAGAATGAGAGGGAATTCAAGGATAGGGAGATGCAGCGAAAGTAAGTTTGATCACTGATTGCTCATCTGATTGATTGTTGATTGGGTGAGTGTGAGATGTTGGAAAAGAGGTAGTATAGAAATAAAGACAAACACAAAATGTAGAAGTATGATGCCAAAACACGTATAAAAGACCAAACCAACAAGGATTTGCAGGCCAAAAAACGGAAACGTCCAAAACTAAAGTTTAATAAATGTTAGCGATAATTTTAATTATTAATTTTCCTCAGATTTATCGGTAAAAATAATTTAATACCCTAACTTCCGCTATTTCATAAAAAAGCTATGCTTTTAGTCGTTAATAAGTGCAGTCCGAAGTGTAATCTGGGTCCTGTATACAGTTGAATTATCACCTTTTTTTGTAACGTTGACATGATTGCTATGATACAACTTCATCAAGATCTCCGTAAGACGGAGGGGTATCTGTCGATAGAGGACGCCCGCCTGGTGGTGGTATTCTTGGTGGAGGTAGAAGGCCTACTTTCTTCGGTGAACAGGGCCGACGGTGCGTTCGACGTTTTCAGTTGTCTTCCTCCACTTACAGTGTACACAGGATTAACGCTAACGACCCAAACCAAGGTAAGCACGATACAGTTCGTACTATAAGTTGTGATTGTTCCCCAAGTTGTATCACCCGTCTGGAATGGATGAGGGAAATTTTGTTTCTATATCGGCTGAAAAATCTAATCGGCAGTGTAAGCAAATAAGGAATAAAGGAATAGGCATTGAATTTAATTAGGATTTTCCACGTTGGAATATTTATTTCACTTTTGTTTTGGTTTAATCGACCCTCAGTGGACTTGTTCGGTTGGAAGTATTAAAATATAAAGCTCCTTTTTGTAACTGACAGTTAATTTAAATATTTTAACTATAGGGTTGGAAGGAACCATTTAAGTCATTGCATATATTTTAAAGAGGTGTAAATCCTTGTAAAATTTTACGCAGATCGTTGGAGTTGTTTGAAAGTTACGATCGTTTTTTCAAAAAATCGAAGGCTTGGAAGTCGCAAGTTTTAAGGAAAACAAAATATTTTTTTGATTTTCATAAAAAGTTGATTAAGGGTTTTTCGGTGTAAAAAACGAATATCAATTCCGTTCTTCTTTAAAAATATTTTAGCTTAATTTGGCTAGACTCATAAACCGCGATTTTTAGCATATTCGAGGGCTGATTTGTTCTAATTTTTTTACTGAGAACCCATGAAAGCCATTAAAGGTGTATAAATCCCTGTGAAGTTTTATGCGGATCGATGGATTGGCTTGAAGTTATGATAGTGTTTGTTATTTTTGAAAAGAAAAATGTGGTTTGAAAAAGGGGAACTTTTAAAGAACACGAAATATTTTTTGATTTATACAAAAATTTGTATTAAAGGTTTCTGAGTGTAAAAATCGAATATCGATTTTTCTCCTTCTTAAAAAATGTTTTGGCAAAATTTTCTACGTCTCATAAACCGCGATTTTTAGCAGATTCGAGTCCTGATTTGTCGTCCAACTGATATTATTTTCTTACGTTCTAATTTCTTTACTGAAAAACGATCTAAGCTATCAGGTGTAAAGATTTATGCGGATCGGTCGAGTCATTTGAAAGTTATGATCGTTTTATGATTTTTGAAAAGAAAAAATTGAAGGCTTGGAAAAGTGAAAATTTTAAATAAAAGTAAATATAAACAAATATTTTTTTTACTTTCACAAAAATTTGTATAAGGATTTTTTAGAATGCAAAAGCTATATCAAATTTCTTTCTTCTCAAAAAAAATATTTTAGCATACTTGGCTAGGTCTCTTGAGGGTTGATTTGTCGTGAGTTTATGCAAACATATTGTATATTTGATTTTGTTTAATTATTATTTTTATGGCAGTCCAGTACCTTGGTAAAATTTAAACGAAAAGATGTCTTTGTTTAGGAAGCTTTCTCACAGTCGATTAGCTTATTTATCGGCCTACTTCCTCTTCTTTTCAATTTGCTAGACAAGCGCATAGCTTCTGAAGAGGAAAAACTCCTAAAAACACGACCCAGTTCGGTAGAAAAAACCTTTTCGCCCTTACATTATATATAAATGTTGTGAAACAGAGGCAAATTGGCTGCCGCGAAAGGCGTATCCTTATCGGCGGATTTCTATGCGTGATTCTGCGTACCCGACCCCTCGCTTTGCCCTAGTTGCCCACGAGAACCGGCATAAAAGAGACGGCACACGCTCTCCGTTTAGAGCATAAAAGAAACAAACCCTTTCACCCGTAATAAATACACTGTACCTGCTGGTTGATTATGATTTCTTACCCACAGCAGTTTAGACAGCAATAGGGTGTACAATTTCTACACTTCTTGGAACTACCCTTATGCTACTGACTCCACCCGCCCGGACTTGCAAAACAGTTCATTATAAATTTTACTTTTGCCTCGTGTATAATACTCCTCATTATTATTCTACAAATCCAAGCCGTTTACGCAATTTTCCGTTTACAACTTCTCCACCTCATCAGACTTGTGCCTGTACATTAGAGTGGGAACGCATCTAATTAGTTGATTTTTAAATAATTTTTTAAAATTTTCTAGGCCATAGAAATGCTGATGTGTTGCAGCCTTTTGTTTCGGCTCTTTTAATGAACGATCTTAAATTGAATGGTGTTCCGTTAACGCATTATGGCCTATGCTCTTAGAGCAAGTCGAACTTTAGTGGTTTGGTTAAAAGGTTAGCGGGAGATCCCGTCAGTTTAGATTGGCGCCAAATAAATCAGTGTTGCCAATATACCGGCAGAAATGGAGTAGGAACAACACTGCCTTTGTACTAAACTCACGGGATTTCCCCTAACCATAAACAAAATTACTCAATTCAATTAATTAATCCTTTTAACTATAGGAACTATAACCTTAAGTCTATTATATTTCGTGGTCTAATTGACCAAATAACTTCTTTCAATTAATTAATCTTAATGTAAAGTATTGGGTGAAATGAAAAAGTTAGCGTCACGAGCGGGATTCGAACCCACGGCCTTCGGCTAAATACGCCGCTGCTATTGCGCCCATCTCAACCTACAAACTTTCGAATTTTCCCTCCTTTTTGACATTTTTCAACCAAAAAAACCTTACATAAAAAGATTAATTAATTGAAACAAGTCATTTGGTCAATAGACCACTAAAAATAATGGATTTAAAATTGCTAAAGTTGGCAAAGTTCTAAAGCACTTTAGAAAGAAAGGATTGAATTGTAAACCGGACATGAAAAATGTTATGCTTATCATTTATAGTAATCGATACAAGCTGTGATTGTGAAGAGCCATGCTGGAGATGGAAGATTCCAAGATGGAGATTTTAGATTGCCGCCAACAAAATCATTGTTGCCAATACAGGGGATGGAACATTGAAGGAAAAACATTGCACCCGCGCTAAACTCATAGGATTAGCTTGCTTTGGAAAATTGACTAAATTTGGTGTCGCTCCGAGGCAACGCTGGGCAAGGAAGGGTTAAACAATTACGCCACTTTTTGGTCTAAGGGTCAAATTTTCGATTTACTTAAAGTGACTCGGTTTGTCTCTGTCTTTTTAATATTATAACAACTTCAATCTCCAATTTTTTTTGGACTTTCGTTTATGTAGCAAAGCTTGCTAACAAGGGGATACTAAAGTTTATTTAAGTGTTTAACAGTTATTCTATATTCGATTTGTTTTTTTAATTTAGAATAAGAAAATAATATGGTGGATTATATTAAATTAAATTTGACGTATGAAAAGTTTAAAAAAACCAAAACGACTATCAATAAAATATTTCGAAAAAAAAAAGATTTTTTGAAAAAAACCAATTCGGATTCGTTTTTAGCACCCTGTAAAAGCATCAAATACAAATTTTTATTTCAAACAAGAAATGGAGAATTTTATGGCCCGATTGGTCCGAGTTAAACTGACGATCGCTGATGTTCGTTGTTCGCGTTAAAAATTCGTATCTCCTCTGAATTGTAGCCAAATTCAAAGTTATTGTAACCAATGAAAAGATAAATTTTTCTTCTTTCAGCTTATATCAATCTATGCGTATATTTTATGCTATTATTGGTGAGAAAAATAAGAATGGAATCAATAAAATCGCCTTAAACTTTTTATGTTATTTCTCTTGTTATAACTTATTTACGGAAGCCAAATTGATGGAATTACGTGTAGTTTATACGGTTCTTGATTACTATGAAGTTTCAGGAAGATTAGTGACATCGTTTCAAAGTTATAACTATTTATGCGATATTGGAAAAAATCAAAGGCATATTTGAAAGACGAAAACTTTTAGGAAAAAAAGGATTATTTTAAATATACGTTTTTGTTTATGTTCAAATTCAAAAAAAAAACTTGAATTTGCTTTAAGCACGTTTTAAACCATCAAATAAAACTTTTTATAGCAAACAAAAATATATATATTTTTTGGCTGGATTCGCCGATTTGATTTTTTTACGCCTAATTCCGTTGTTCCACATGCAAATTCACAGCTCCTCTAAATTTTATCCATATTCAACGTTATTACACTCTTTGGATAAGTAGATTGTTCTGCTTTTAGCCTGTATCAACAACGGTTATATGTTTGACCATTATAAATGAGGAAAATAAGGATGAAATCAACAAAAATGCCTCAAACGTTTTATTTTATTTCCCCGGTTCTAATTTATTTAAGAGGTCAGTCTGCCGTTACTTACACTTTATACGGTTCTAAATTAATGAACAGTTTCAGGAATATTAGTGAAATTATCTCACGTTATTACGATTTTTGATGATTTTCAAAAGAAAACCTGGAGACATTTTGAAAGGGAAAAATCTGAAACAAAAAAAAACTATTTTTTATTTTCACGAAAATATGCATTCAGAGGTTTTTGGGGGTGTAAAACACGAATATCAACTTTATTCACATTAAAAAATAATTTGGCATACCTTGTTACATTTTTCATCGGTAGATAATAAAGTATAATTTATTTAGAAATAGTGAGTGGACATACTTTAATTGAATATATAAAAAGATATATTTTGCATTGTAGACATTCACTTTTCCACATCCAAAATGTAATTGTTATATGTAAACAATGTTTGTAAATCCTAGGCCCTGAAGATGATCTCAATAAAGATCGAAACGTTGGCACGATAAAGAAAATGTTTTTCTGAAACCTACTTCACACCAGACTGCATATCACGATTTCTAAATAAATATCGATTAACGGTCACTAATCACCACACATAAAGTATAATACATAAATTATGGCCGAACAACGTTGCAAAATAGGTTAAGATATTTTTTTAGCGCGAAACAAAGTTGATATTGGCTTTTGGCACCCAACAAAGGCTTGGAAGAGCCTTAATGAGATATTTTTATTTTCCCATAAATCTGTACTTAGAGGTTTTTGGGAGTCTAAAAAAATGAATAACAATTTTGTTCTAAAATATTTTAGCATTTTTATGTAGATCTGATATGACGAATCAGATTCATAATTTGTGACAAAACGACGTTGCAAAGTGTTCTAAAAACAATTTTTTTAACAGGAAGCAAAAATCCCCTTAATTTTACAACCCATCAAAACCCTAAATCCAAATTTATTGGAAAAAAAATTTCTTAGATTT